TTGCTAGAATACAAGAGGACTGTGAGAACCTACGGAGCCCTGCTGGTTACATCCCATATAAATTAAAATAATGCGTGGCCACTACTTAGTAAGGCATGGGAACGAGATTATTAAGCCGTGTCCATGACGTGGGGATGAGATCCTAATGCATGGCCACAACTTAGAAAGGCGTGGGATGAGACCTTAGCAATGTTAGGCCATTGCTAAGTTATCCCACATGGCTGTCGGTAGGCAACAGCCATCTGAGATAACAAAGCAATGGCCTAACAACACCTTAACCCTTGTATGGCATTCGGGTCTGTGTAAACCAATTTCAGTGTTTGCCACAAGAAAAAATGATGCGATCTATTATTATTTCAGCCTCAAATTCCTTGGCCTTTGCTCATTTTCAGTGAAGAACATATAAAATAACATGTTTTCAATAACTTCACGCTGTTCACCCCCTACACATTTATATTACACATGTGGTGTTGGGGTAAATCTGTGGGAAATAAAAGTGTGGAGGTGCTATGTCCCTTCACTCTGTTAAAATAATAAAGTACGGCGTGGGGATGAGATCCTAATGTGTGGCCATGATTTAGTAAGGCGTGGGATTGAGATAATTAAGTTGTGGCCACAACTTAGTTAGGCACGGGAACGAGATCATGCCTTGCTAAGTCATGGCCACGCATTAGAATCTCATTCACAAGCCTTACTAAGTCGTGGCCACATAGTAGCATCTCATTCCCACCGCTTACTAAGTCGTGGCCACAACTTATTTATCTTGTTTCCACGCCTTACTAAGTTGTGGCCATGCGTTATTTTTATTTATACAGAATATCACCAGCGGGGCTCTGTAAGAACCCTGGAAAAATGTGGCTCTTTAAATAACCCCTTTTAGGCTTATAAGTTCTTCTAGGAAACCCCGTAGGTGTTTGAGGGCTTCCTCAAACGAAAAGGGTTCCTAAAGGAACCTAGAGGTAGAGTGGTGCTTGATGGATCCAGTGAGGTAGGTGGAGGTTTCTACAACAGCTTGTAGACTATCAAGGGTTCCTCCAGGAACACTGATAAATGGGAACGTTTTTTGAGGCCCTGAAAATGTATGTTTTTTGAGTGTCTTATTTGATATTTGAGCCACCTTTAGTTTTTACACTGGGAGCAATAGTGGAAAGTGTGTGTGTGTGTGTGTGTGTGTGTGTGTGTGTGTGTGTCTGTGTTTGGCTGCGTAATTGAGGTTTGCAGGTTTGCCAGGAGGTAAGTTTTGTCTGCAAGACCAGACAGATCTAACTGATGTGAGGTGGACAGCTAGGAAAAGTGAATGTGTGTGTGTGTGTGTGTGTGTGTGTGTGTGTGTGTGTGTGTGTGTGTGTGTGTGTCTCCCCCACTCTCAATCCATCAGTCTGCTCTCCCTCCACAGTGTCAAACTGCAGTACTATCTGTACCTTTACTACCATCCCTCCTCTGATATATTGCCTGTGTTGGAAAAGACCAATCAGGACTTCTTGTCCTGTTGACAGTTTGCAAGACTTGTTTGCAAGAGTTGTGTTAGGAATGTGTTTATTAGGGCTGCTGCTATTGATCACATTAGTAGTCAAGTAATCAAACAATAAGAGTTACACAATAAAAACAGACTTGATTTTTCTATTTTTTTTCAGAACTCAGTCATTGAGATGTAAACAAAGTGGTTCATTGTAGGGCAGGGGTCAGCAACACGAAGCTCTGGAGCCGCATGAGGCTCTTTTACTGCCCGGTTGCGGCTCCTCAGCAGAATTAGATTTTTGGTAAAAATAAAATAATCCTCAGTTTACAGTAAAATAAATCTCTGCTGATCGTTCAACACAGTTTTAACAATACATGGAGTTAATGTAGAACTGCTGATTCACCCTTTAACCCTGAAGGTTGGTGCGCAGACTGCTGGTCACCATAGCAACTCAGACAACAATCTGGCCTAGCTAGCTGCTAACAAAAAGGCAAAGAGAGAGATTTAAGATTGATCATTTGGAGACAAACAGACTTATTTGTGACTCAAAGAGAAACTGTCAAACACTAAAAAGTCACAAGGCTGAAGTCAGCTTCTCGTTCATCAACTTCTTCGAAGTTAGAATTTTCCCATTTCACCTCAAATGGACGTTAGCTACATTCTGGCGCCTAAGGCACAATTTAAGGTGGAATGGGAAAATTCAAACAAGAATCGGGTGAATAACAAGCTGACTTCTGCTTCATAAAAAGATGAACATAAAGAGACATTTTACAAGACTATTCTACTTTTGCTGAAAAGTTTCCTGCTGGAGATGTGAGAAAAACAGCTATAGCTGAGCTGCACCTTAAAGCAGAGCAAAGTAAGTCTGCGTTTTCATTTATATTATAAGTATAATAAGTAATAAGTATAATAAGTGATAAGTAATAATTATTTTAGCCTGTACTAGGCCAGTAGCACATACTAAGACATATTTACAGCTAAGATGGTGAAACATTACCTCAATAAAATGGACATGAAATGTTGTGGCTCCCACAGTGATTAGATTTTTGTTGAAACTTGACAAAATGACTTTTCTTAATGTTTGAGTTGCCGACCCCTGTTGTAGGGAAACTTACCACCTACCAAATTATTTACAGTGGTGGTCATAGGAACCAGGGGTCACCATATCTACAACAGAAATCTGGTCATTAAGTTGACTTGAAAAACTACTGTTCTTCATTTTCCTCTTAATATTATTATTCTGTGGTCCAAAATTTGCAATGTCACTCCTCCTACAGCTTACAAGCTAGAAAAGCAGAACTTTGCAGGATCATAGAGCCTATAACTACATACTTTGCTGGTGCTTGCTTGTAACTGATTCCACTGTCATTGTCCATACAGTGTTCATTCAATTATGTTTTTTTTTCCCATAGGACTGAATGGGGGAATTCTTAACATCCTAAAACTGAGTCATTTTACTTGAATGATATATATAATGCTTATACCTAAACCTTTTATTCCACCACAGTTAGATTACACCCCGTGGCCAAGTTTTTGTTGGACACTCCTCATATGTCACTATCATACAAGTATGCTAGCAACAACTTAGCAACCACCTGGGTTACCATAGCCACCACCTAGCAACAGCCACCTAGGATACCTTAGCAATGTTAGGTCATTGCTATGTTATCCCATGTGGCTGTTGGCAGGCAACAGCTATCTGGGATAACATAGTAATGGCCTAACAACACCTTAACCCTTGTGTCGTGTTCAGGGCTGCGGGTACCATTTTCAATGTTTGCCAAAAGAATAAATACTGCGATTTATTATTATTTCATCCCCAGATTCCTTGGCCTTGCTCATTTTCTGCGATGTTACGCTGTTCACCCCCCACACATTTATATTACATATGTGGTGTTGGGGTGAACCTGTGGGGAATAAAAGTGTGGAGGTGCTGTGTCCTTCACTCTGTTCTCTTCCTATATGGCCTTCTGTTAGTGTGTGTGTGTATGTGTGTGTGTATGTGTTTGTATGTGTGTGTGTGTGTGTGTGTGAGGGTGGACAACATGGACAGGCTGCTGACTGGCTACAGCTGCTAAAGGAGAACCCTATGCTGACCACTTGTGATATTTTAAACAACTTTACATGTTTTTTACATACATTTTACATTACAAAAAAACAATAATGCAGAGGGGCCACCAGACCACTGAGTAACGAAAACATGAACACCACACATGGGTTAACAACCACCTAGGATACCATAACAACAGCCTAGCAACCACCTAACAATCACAGCACTTGTTAAGTTTCTCTAGAACAGAGCACCGTTTTCTATATCCTAATGACTTAGTTATGGTGAAATTTTGAAAAATAGGTGGAATTCATCTTTAACTTAATAGTAACAAGCTATACTTGGCCTTTTAGAGATTCTTCAGTGGAGAAAGATCAGATAACAAGGCTCCATTAAAATTTCTAAAAGAAACTAAATGGGTGAGTCCATCAGGCTCTGTTTCTTACCACAATCTGCCAAATAATCACCGCTTAGTTGGCAGAAAGGTATATTTTAATCAATCATTTTTAAATCTGAGTAACTGTGACAGCCCTTGTATTTCCGTTTGCATTGTGGGAGCTGGATTTGATTTATTTATTTGTTTATTTTTTGATTGTGAACCACTTCTGTTGTAGAGACTGCAGCTGTTCCTAATAGGCTTATTAGGCCTTTGAAAGCCCATCAAATGAGGCCAGTCTTTGGACTCCATCTCTTGTTTTCTCTCTCGTCTCTTATTTTCTTCTTCCAGCTTAAGCTTTTAGAGTGGCTTCTATATAAACACAAGTACTTGAATGGAGTGCATGTATCCCCTCATTGGCCACTTTATTAGAAACCCCTCCCTTGTAGATCCAACTTGCTAGAGACTGTAGCCTAGTTGATGCATAGTTTGTCCTGTAGCCCTTCATCAGAGGTCAGTTGCGGTTTCACACCAGCTCACTGGACAAACTGTCCAGTCTCATCTATGGATAATTCTGTGTCTGCTCGTTTTTAGTCTACCTTGTGCAAAGGGATCACCTGCTTTCTGAATGATTTGCTTAGATGAACTTGGAGAATGTTGTCTTGGCTGCAACAGTGAGCAAACCTCTTCCTTCCATCTCCAGCCATCCTTCTGTTCTCTTCTGTCTCCTTTTCCCTCTTGGATCTCCTTGATCTCTGCCAGTCTCTCATTTGCTCCCCTTCCATCTCTCCGTTACTTTTGTTCTCCTACTTTTTCTGCCTCTCCCTCTCTCTGATCGATTGGCTTGTTGGAGTTGCTGGGCAGCCTGTCTCTGATGGACGAGTGTCAGAAATCAATCCAAACAACTTTAGAAAAGAGCAATGGGACAAAAAATGAAAGAAGGAAAGAAAAAAGGGGCTTGTCACAAAAAGAGATCCTTTTTGTCATCCTCCAGCATTTTAATCAGGGATTCCGTCTTCTGTCATCGTTCCATCTCTCCTTCTCCCTCTCTCTTTCTCTGCCTATCAATCTTTCTCACACACACAAATCCTCAATCTCTATTTTCGTGTCCACAGGCGGCCAGAGGGACCAAATCGGAACATTCCAGGAAAACAAGAGGGGATCCCTCTCTCTCACATCTCCAGGCAAAAGGTCTAAGGTCATGACCACATCGTGAACCACCTACACACTTCCTTCACCTTCCACTGAGCCATCATGTTCCACACATTCCCCAACAAGTCCAAGCCCCAGTCACCGGTCTCTTTGGAGAAAACCTACTCACTGACTGCCCACTATGATGAGTTCCAGGAGGTGAAGTACGGCAGTCGTTACAGCAGCAGCACCCTCAGCAATGGCATGAGCCTGCACCTGGGCGGCTCCCTTGACCGTTACGGCCGCTCCCGGAGCGGGCGGGACAAGTGTGCTGGAGGGGGCGGGAGCAGCCCAGGGGGCGGGAACCTCAGAGAGGTGGACTCGGAGGGAGATCTGCCTGCTCTCGGCCCTGGTCTTTCGTGGCCGGCATGTGCGTGATTCTGGGCTGCATGCTGGCTCTGAAGTTCTTGTCACTGGAAGCACAGCAGGACGCCCAGTGCAAGCAGGACTGCAAGGCAAGGCGCTCGCTGCTGAGGGCAGCGCGCTTCGTTCAGGGCAACATCGACACAAGCGTCCAGCCTTGCCATGACTTCTACAGCTTCGCCTGCGGAGGCTGGCTCCGGCGCCACGGGATACCGGAGGACAAGCTGAGCTACGGCATTATCACGGCCATCGGAGAGCAGAACCAGGAGAAGCTGCAGCGCCTCTTGGAGCAACCTGTCAGGAGGACGGGGCCGGACAGCGCAGAGAGAAAGGTACGCATACTGTATCTCACTTCTTTCATGTGCAAATTGGCCCAATTACAGACTGTAGCCCCTCTTATAATGCACAAGTTATCAGTCCCCCCTCTAACTCATTCATCGTTGGTCAGTTTCTGACCACAAGACTGCTGCTGTCCACATATTATTTGGGTTATGGATCACTCTCAGTACAGCAGTGATGCTGACATGGTAGTGTCATAAAGATCTAAACGAAGCAGTTCTATGGTCAGAAGCTGACCACTGACAAAGCGCTAAAGCAGTGTTTTGGTTTCTAACCCTTCTCTTGGAGATCTACTTTCCTGCATGTTTCAGTTCCAACTCGAGACTCATATGACTCATTCCACTAATCAAGAACTTCTGAAAGCAATAATTAGATAGGTCAAGTGAGGTCAATGTAAAGTCTGCAGGAAGTTAGATCTCCAGGAGCAGCGTTGGTGACCACTGAGCTAGAGGATGGCTAACGTGAATTGTGCATCAACAGATGGGCTACAGTCTCTTAGGCTAACTTTACACTTTAATGCAACTTCAGCTGCTTGTAACCTAAATGAAATTGTAAATTGAGTTGCATAAGGTAAATTTGTCCTGAAACTCATTTGAAACTCAGATAGTAAGTAGCAATAGTCTCAAGTGACTCAACTTTGTGGAAAGGGTTTCATTCAACAGCCAGCCGAAACATCAGTAACACATCACATGATCACATCAAACAACATCGTTTCAGACAATTTATTTTACTGGATCAGTGGACAAGAAAATAAAACAGTAGAGGATTTACTGAACAGCTGAAAATGAGATCCTTCTGACATTATGCAAGGTTGCTGGTATTCCACCTGACCAGTGACAATAAGTGTGAGTTTCTCAAAGCTAGCACTTCTGTAAGCACCTAGCTTAACTAGCCAGCTCATGCTAAGAGCTGTTTCAGTGGCTGCTTGTTCGTCCTTTTATTGTTTGGCTGCTGTTATTGTGATCTCTGGACAACCTCTAATTTTACACAGAGTTCAGATTCATTTGAGATCCAAAGGATTAAAATGATTACAGAAGGGCAGAGCGAGACGAGGTAATCGAAGAACCTTGTTGTGTAGTGCTTCTAGAACAGGATCAGCGAGAAATACAACCAAAATGGCTACTTAAACTTTAATTTTCAAAGGCTTAACAGTACCCAAAAGATAAAATCTCAAATATGTAGTGCAGAAGCATAGATAGATAGATAGATAGAAAGATAGATAGATAGATTTTGAATTGTTTCGTGTAGCTGTGAAGTTTAAATTTATTAGTTATGAAAGTACGTTGCATGCAACTAGTTGGAAGTTCCAATGTGTAAAGCCAGCCTAACTGTACAAGGTGGAGCTACAAGGGAGGGGTTTCTAATAAAGTGTCAGTGAATGTGTGTACATGAGTGTTTACTCCTTCTGTTTTTTCTCTCTCTCTCCCAGGTGAAGGAGTTCTATCGCTCCTGCGTCAACATCCAGGAGATCGACCGGCTCGGAGCAACGCCTATGATGGAAGTGATTGACAGCTGTGGTGGGTGGGACTTGTCTGGAGCTCCACCTGGAGGGGCGGGTTGGGAAAGTGGCTCTGCCCCTGTGAGGCCTGACTTTAACGAGATGCTGTACAGGACCCAAGGGGTGTACAGCACGGCCGTCTTCTTCTCTCTCACTGTCAACGTGGACGACAAGAACTCCTCGCGCAATGCCATACGAGTGAGTGCATCGTACTGGGCGAAAGCGACTGTGTGCTGTGGGGATGCAAATTCTTTTGACTCATAAGCGAGCGTCATTAGTCAGCGATTTATTGCTAACTGGCAAACCTAAAAAACCCATCAAAATGTCAGTTGTAAAAGCTATGACTCAGAAATCTGCCACATACAATGTAAAATACTTGATATATTCATGCATTTCGCATTACATCACACTGTATAGTCGCCGCCATTTAGAGGACCGGATCAGGGAGTGACGGCGCTGTGCGATGCCTTGAGTTCGCTGGGCTTTGTCAATGTTTCACCTGCAAGAGGCGACAGAAGCCGAGAGACCAGAGACACACAGACCTTTAATTCAGTGTTTTCACTCCAGGTTTGGAGCTGCTGCACTGTATAGTTTAGTATTTCACTGCTGTTCACACCTCGTTCAGCTCAAGAAGGGATTAATTAGCTAATAATATCAGGTATTTTAACCAGGAAACCACAGTTATGCGGTGCAGGGGTTTCAGGACTGGAGCTGAACTCTGAACTAACTGCACCAGCAAACTTACAGAATCACGTCTGTCGAAACACGGCGGCGTTTTCAGACCCACGACATTCAGTCTGATATTTAACGCTTATGATTCTCCATTCAAACGTCATTTAAATCAGAAACAGAGAGTGAAGTTATACCGGCGGTCTGCAGCTCCGTTAGGGGGCGACTGTTCATCTCTCGGCTGGTAACATCAGCTAAAGTTATCTAAAGGCCAGCATTGATCACATCTGTGTTAATTAGCTGATGTCGTTACCCTCCTATGATCACAGAGTCTATCTCCTCTTTATGAACACCATGGGATCCTTTACCCACCCTGACGTGAAGAGCCGGTGGGCTTCTGTGCTTTTAAATGCTGTAAGAGACTCTCCAGAATAGGGAGAGGGGCTGAGTATGAGATCAATATAAATTTCAGGAAAACACTAATTTGGTAGCTTTTCCGCCAGTTTAAGTGGCACCAGGAGTTCAGGGGAAACTGCATAAAGATCACAGCCTGTTTTATCGACTTTGGCGATGTAACGTTTTTTCTCTTCCAAAGTAAGGAGAGAAATTTTAGCCATCTTTCACCTCTACGTCCGTTACGTTACGTTCATGCGGAGCAGCGAAGCCAGAAATGCGGTCCCAAATATGTCGGCCACAACAAAAAAAAACACGTAACTGAAACCCTTGGATAGACACTTCTGAGTGCACACATCAACTGAATTCTGTATTAATACCCCAAGATATTAAAAAGTGTTCCTTGTGTTGACCCTAAAATTAGGGTTTCAGATTGTGGCAGAGGTCATGGGGGGTCCCCTGGTGGAAAGTCTGACTGGGAAGTGATCTATACATTGTATATTTTAGATTATATTTTTGTGAAGTTTATTATGTAGCAATCACTTAAATTCAGATTTGCATCATTATAAATGATTTTTACACTTGAAGCTGACAGAAAGGTCTAAGCAAGTAGGCGTTGTGGCCTACCTTTGGCAGTTTGATGCGCATTTAAGCTTTAATCTCGGCTCTGTGCACTAGGTTGCATGGTAATGTTACAAATTTGCACAACTGAGTCTACAGTTTATCCAGGGGGTGATTGAAAACGGTGAAAATTTAGAAAAAAAACAGTCACCTTATGTGAAGGCATTTGTTTTGTATAAAATCTGTATAAAATTCTCATTTATTCAAGAAAACAACACCACAAGTACAATTTTGGGGTCCTTTTACACTTATGTGAGGTCCAGGACCCTCCAACCTCAAACCTCCCCCTATTCGAACCGATTCTGGAACGTAGTACTGATAGGAGGGCAGGCATAAGCATGTATATACAGTAAACTGTACAAAGCTTACATAAGAGCACAGTTTTGTTTAAACTGAGAGGCTGAGACTGTATCATTGCTGTTTTTTGACATTTTTGCATCTTTTTGCATACTTAAAAAAATCCAGTTATCCTTGGCTTATAGTAAAATTTCATGGTAAACGGACCAATACAAATGCTCCAGAATTAACATTCAATTGACTTCCATTACAAGTTAAGAATGGCTTTTCTTTCTCCTGTAATTTTGGAGATATAAGGTCTTTCCGAGACCGACATGTGTTCGTGATTATGCTTGTATGACCAATAATAAAAAGCTGAAGAAATAACTGGAATGTATAATGATGAGCTACTGAATGTTTTGTATTCTAAAGTGCTAAATTTATATTAATTATTCATTAGCTGCCTGAAAAAGAGCATAGATGCCATGAGGGCTAGCTTAGCGTACCTCAGTAGGTCTCGAAAGCCACCACATCCACCACGTCCTTCTCTATAATGCACACCCGTGTGTGATTTCCTCATCAAACTTTCTCTCAGAGAACATGGACAAGATATTTGTCTTATCACCTGTGGATGTTTGCTTTCAGTATGGTACATTGCTGTAGTTCTGCTATCTTCTACTTGGAAAGTGGTCTTGAACATTAGTGTTTTTAGCTGTGCTCTTCATTTTTTAGTAGGCCCATCCGGCGGAACCAACTGCCTATTGCACCCTCATGCATACATTTAAAAAAGTTCCTTAATTTGTACAATAAGCCTACCTATTCAAATAGAGTCTCACAAGCCAGACAGAGTGCGGTACTTTTCATCACAAAACATGGCCAAGAACTGCCTACAAGAAGACAAAGGCAAAAATGATCAATCACGGTTTTGCCACAGTCTGCAAGCAGCTGTTTAATACTGCTGACTACAGCTTAGCTGGAAAAACTAAACTTTTTGCAACCGATAGCATTGGTCAGCAAATTTGTTTATTTGTCTGGTCACAGTTAATTATTTGCATCCCTAATCTGCTGTATGATCTTCGGACCATTTGTTTGACCGTATGCCTGCACTCTTGCTATGTGTGTGTATTATTAAGTTTTGCACAACCTTGTGTTTTTAGATTGATCAAGAGGGTCTGACGTTGCCAGAGAGGACGCTGTACCTGGGCCAGGATGAGGACAGTGTGAAGGTATGAAACCTGTAGATGTGTGTGTGCATGTGTGTGTGTGTGTGTGTGTGGTGTGTGTGTGTGTGTGTGTGTGTAAGTACAACTATAAATACTCATCAGATTAAAAGAACAGAACTTGCAAGGTGGGCCAATAACATTAACTAGTTTAACTACTATAAGGGTCAATGATGCATTTAGTAGTCAACTTTATCATCATTTGAAATTCAGTCGTATCAAGTTTTTAGAGAGATTGCCATTTCATCACATTAGGCTTTTAATAAACCCATGTAATATGTCGTGTGCTACCCTGGGCTCATGAAAGACGCTGGGTTGCAGCAGCCATTTAACTTCATATTCACACCAATGAACATAAAAACGAAACTGAAACAAAACCAAATCAAACCTAAGCTGGACAATTTTCAGTCCTTTCCCCACTCAAGCCTTCCAGCTCTTCGATCTGCTGCTGCTGCCTGTCCCTCTCCCTCTGTTCCGTCTCTGCTCTTTTTAAAAGGTGCTCACCTAAATCGTCACCACTCCTGCTCTCCAGCTCAGCTACTGGGATCAAACATGAGGCAAATTAAAGTAGCCTCACCGCAGGACCGCAGGCGGTGCCCAGGAAGCAGGGCTTGGGACTCGCGCACCACCCCCCACTCCCTCGCGGTTCTCCTATCTCTCATCCTCACGGGGCTTTGTCCTCGCTTGGGGTTTGGACCCTGCCTTCCAGCAGGCTCTCGCAGCCGTCATCGGGGCCCGAGGGGATGAGTGTATGCTACAAACCACAATAGCCACGAACTGAAATACAATATAAACAACCCAAACCCCTTTAAAAATGGTACCAACCTCACCGAAACTATGGATAATTTGGCAAACACTCGAGTTCAGCTGATGGTGAGGCTCGAAGGCAGACGAATGCAAAGCTGGCGATCTTGATGGGTAGAAAAAAAATGTTCTTCTGTCGGAAAATCTGGTGTCCTTTAAAGTCTCCTTTTATGACCAGTTCTGCCAGAAAGACTCAGAAGGTAAGAGTGAAGGAGGACAATTATTTTATACCCTCGATGGAATTTTACAAGTTGAAAGAAAACAATTCAGTAGAAATTCAAGAGTCTTTGGAATAGGTCCCATCCTTGGTCCAGGTCTTGGAGCATTGAGACCCTTGTGGATCCTACGTCAAAACGTAGGCACCAAATAGTAGTAGAATAGGTGCACAAGTTGAGTCATTTTAACAACCGGTGTAGGCCTGTGATTGGTTGGTGGTAATGAATGAATGAATGACGGAGCATTAGAGTCTTCCTGGCAGAACTTTTGCTAAAGCTTCCATATCTGGAAGATGCATGCGGGATGCAAACTAAAAGCTTGGCGGTCAACAAAGATTTCTAAGCAGTGATTTGAGGGCTGCCGCACACTGGATGAGAAGCGCCATGCCATTTAGAAGAGCACTGATAAACATTAAGCTCAAGCTCATTGGCACTCTTACTTCATTTAGCCCATATTTCACCTTTGTATCTTCTATCTAGCACTTCACAAACTCAGTGTGCCTCATTCACCAACCGTTCCTAAGAAGAAATTTCTACCTAAAACCCAGATTCTGACGTTCACCATTGTTTTTTCATTTGGGGTTTGTTCTTAGGTAAGAACAGAATCTACACAGACTCAAGAGCACAAAGGTGAGAACAGTTCTATGGTTTAAGAACACGTCATGAATCTGACGTTGACTTTTTCTTAGAACCTTTGCTCAAGAACACATTTAAGAACAAACTCAGGAAGATACTGGTGAATGAGGCCCATTGTTTTCAAGCTTCAGGTACAAAGTGAAAAACATTACGAGACTGAGACAGTAATCTTAGTTGAGGTAACAGACAGTTTCGCATTTGTCTGTCTATCTTAGACAGTAGATTGACTGCCTTTCTTTGTGTAAATTTCAAGCCACATGTCACATTCTGTGGCTTTTTTGGTCTCTTTCTCAGTTTGATTTAATGCAGTAGTAGCAAAATGCTGAGTGGCACTTCAGAAACAGAGCACTGCTGGAGGTCATTCAACTGCGGCGCGGTGACTCAGCCGGTGTGCATGTAAACTTAAGAACTGAGGCAGAGCTTCATCTGCTAAGAAGCAGAGGTGATTCTGTATTGATATTGATATGATTGATAGTGATTACATAGTGGAGTAATTGAAAATGTTGCGTGCAACATTCTTTGTTTTTGAATTGCTTTGTGGAACTGTCAAGTTGCACAGAAATTATGTTGCATGCAACTGGTTGCATGATGTTTTTCTCGTATAAAGTCAGGGTAACAAGGTGTTGCTACCTGAGATGGGCAGGGTTTCTAATAAAGTGGCTGTTGGAACAAAACCTCATATCTCCAAAATGATAATTTTACAGGAGAAGGAAAAAACATACTTACTTTATAATGTAATGTAAGTCAATGGAACCAGACTTTTTTCCAAGTATTTTTGACCATTTCCTTTTGTCCATTCATCAAGAAATTTACACACTGCAAAGGTCAACAGGCATTTTCAAATTAAGTCAAAAACTGAAAAAAAGCAGTTATGTTAGGTTTTGTTTCCGACAGCAGCGATCTATACACCGATCAGGCCTAACATTATGACCACCTGGTCTGAGTGGATCAGACACAGCAGTGCTGCTGGAATTTTTAAACACTGTGTCCACTCACTGTCCACTCTATTAGACACTCCTACCTTGTCAGTCCACCTTGTAGATGTAAAGTCAGAGACGATAGCTCATCTGCTGCTGCACAGTTTGTGTTGGTCATCCTCTAGTCCTTCATCAGTGGTCACAGGACGCTGCCCACAGGACGCTGTTGGCTGGATATTTTTGGGTGGTGGACTATTCTCAGTCCAGCAGCGACACTGAGGTGTTTAAAAACTCCAGCAGCACTGCTGTGTCTGATCCACTCAGACCAGCGCAACACACACTAACACACCACTACCACGTCAGTGTTACTGCAGTGCTGAGAATGATCCACCACCCAAATAGTACCTGCTCTGTGAGGGTCCATGGGGGTCCTGACCACTGAAGAACAGGGTAAAAGGGGGCTAACAAAGTATCAGAGAAACAGATGGACTACAGTCTGTAACTGTAGAACTACAAAGTGCACCTATATAGTAAGTGGAGCTGATAAAATGGACAATGAGTGTAGAAACAAGGAGGTGGTCATAATGTTATGCCTGATTGGTGTATATATGTATATATATATATATATAAACACACAGGGACACTGCCCAGAAAAAATAGTGTAAATTCAAAATAAAAAGAAGTAAAAACTTGTAATAGCTTGTATTTCAGGTCAAATTGTTTCATGTAGTTTATTGTGTTAAACTTTTTTTTCAACGAAAACTAAAAAAAAAAAGGTTTTTTTGGTGCTCTTCATGAATATAGTGTTGTACCATGACAGACCCAGTCAGACGCTCACAGTAAAAAAACGGGAAATTAAGCTTTAATTAAAAAGGGCTTGACAAGAATCACAGTCGGGTCAAAACCGAAAGGGCAAAGACAAAAAGGCAAAGTCAGTAAGTCCAGAATCAGAGTAACACTCAGGAAACGCTCAGTAGCTCTATAAAGAGAAGCACTACCTCACTTTCACTCACTCACTTTCAAACTAAACTAAACAGGTCTTTTGACATAGAAAACAGGTGCAACATATCAGCACTCTGGTGACTGTGAACAGTGATAGGAGGACTGAGGACGTTTATGAGTCACGTGATCTCCAACGGGATTGTGGGAAATGGAGTCCAAGTGTGAGTGCGTGACTAGTGTGCATAAATATTTATCGAAGGACATATTTTATTAGCTGAGGTTGTGCTGAATCTGAGGGTATATCACACTTTATGGTTCTGTCAAAAAAACAAAATGAAATTACAAAATGCAAAATATGCAAAGGTGAAAGTGTCTCAATATCAGAGACCGAGGATACCTTATTACCATCATACCACACAACCTGAGGTCAGAAACTGACCACTGAAGGGTTAGAAGATGGTTGACACAAATTGTGTCTCTAACTGCACACAAACAAAGTGGGGCTCACAAGAGAGGGCCTTCAGTTAGAGTGACCAGTGGGGGCTTTCTAATAGAGTGACCAGTGAGAGCACAAAGAAAACAAGACGCTGTCCCCCCCAGATCGGATTAACTACTCAGCTGTATTGTCTCATCTCTGCTTCCCCTCTTTCATCTATTAATTTATTCCTTTCAAATTCTGTCTTTACAAATGTTCCTTCCTCTTTTATTCCGTTTCTCCATCTCTCCATCTGTGTCGTCTGAGGACCATCTGCCGCTTTCCTTTTCCTGCTGCTCTCCTGCTGAGAGCTTGTGTCCCTAATTGACATTGTCACATCTGTGCCCGGGCACCAGCTTATGATGTCAGCGGCTGTGTGGTTCGCTAATGATGTCACAGCTGTTTCTGGTCCCCTACTGATGAGATCACGCATATGCCAGTAGGCCACTAGTTGATGTCATGGCTGACCAGTTTCTCGTAACTGTAATTAGCTTCAGTGCAATACTTCACTAAAGTGGTCTCGTGTCAACATTGTGCTCCGTTTTTCCAATGATGATGTCATGTTCTTGCTGTCATCCTGTGCTCATGATGTCAGATCCTGACTGCCTACAAGGCCCTGATGGAGAGGCTGCTGAGCATGCTGGGAGCTCACAACGCCACAGTGAAATCCCGTGAGATTTTAGACCTTGAGACGAGACTGGCCAACGTGAGTGTCACATTGTTTTATTTCTTTGTTTGTTTTATCTCTATTAAGGCGGATTATGAGGATGTTTTTTCTTTGTCTGTCTCTCTTCCAGATCACCGTATCAGAGTTTGACGAGCAGAGAAAAGACATCAGTAGCATGTACAACCGAATCACACTGAAGCAGCTCCAACGTATGGCACCTAGCGTGAGTACACATGCACTATGCAAAGGAGACCTTCATTCATATCATTTCCACTCAAACCCGCCATTAAGTTCAAGAGATATTTCTGAGAATATAAGATAATCCACTTGCACAAGGAAGGAGAAGGTCAAAGGAAAATAGACGAAAATAACAGGAGTTTGCAAAATTTCAAAGAATTATTAAAAGATACAAAGAGAATGGGATTCCTAACAACCACCTGGAAGTCCTGGAAGACACCAAAACTGTCCCCATCAGATAAACAGCACTTACAGCTTTCATATTTGAGAGACAGAAGAAAATCAAACCTCACACTTCACAAAAAATAGGATCTTGGCAAGTGAAACTATGCTTATTTCAGATTATTCAACTTGTTTCTAAACATTTTTGCTTATTTTCAGTGATTTTATCAAGTGGAATTATTGTGACGTCAGCAGAGAGTAAAGTGCTCAGCAAACTTTCTTGCAAAACGAAATTTTTGAGGGTTGCGCAAAGCCAAAAGCGCCTTCGCCACCTTACAAGCTCGCATACTTTATGCGGTTTTGTTTTGCCGGTTGCTCCACTAATGCAGGTGATGCTATGACATGTTACGATAAGTTCATTGACTACTGTGATAGTTAATTGACTATTAGTGTTCTAGCTATGGCGACGTGTGAGTCCAGAATACTGCCACTACTTAAAGTGGAACTGGACAATTCAAACAAGAAGGTGGTGAATAGGAAGCCAACTTCAGCCTCGTCCTCTTGTGAATCTAAATATAAGATGACCTGTAAGTTTTAGTGTCTATTACTAGTTAGTACTGCTGAATAACAGACCCAACATCTTACATTTAGGAAGTATTCATTAGTTATTTATTAATGCGCATTTAACAGTGAAAGTTTGGTGTTTCTGCCAAAGCGCTCAGCGTACTTTTTGTGAAATGAAGCTCCTCCACAAGTCGTCCATCTTCGTTTAATGGCACGCCTCTTTTTTACCGACCAATCACAGGCTTTGTAGCGTATTGTCTAGGAGTTCGCCCAGCTGCCATGTGTGCATCACGGTAAAGTGCGACATCTGCAGTTGTTTGTTTTCTCTGCAATTACGTCAATGGTTCGCTGAAGCCAGGCGAAACGTCATCTCCATAAGAAGTATGCCGAGGTCTTAAGACACAATGGAGGCCATGATCTGTTGCAAGAAAGCGCTCTTTATTAAAAACACCAGCAGAAAGGCACATACAAAACACTGAACTCGAGGGGGAGGTCACCTCTAGCTACACCCTTCACCCCAACGGTAGCTTTCCCACACACACAAAACCCACCACACTAAATAACACAAACAAAACATAGACATAACTTTAGTTAGCAGACGACAACATAAAACAAGACAAGTTACTTTTTTGGGGGGGGGTGCTTGCATACCATGAGCGTTCGCATGTGGCCGTCTGCACAGCCACACCTCCAGAGACTCTTGGAGCCACCAGCAGCACCACCAGTAGCAGTTCTCTACATTATCTCACTGTACAGATTATTTTTGACAGATAATATTTCTTAGTATTTACTTAGTACTCTTCAGTATTTGCCTATTTCTAAAAAAGTTGGGATGCATTAGGTTGCATTAGCGCATACGGCATGAGTGACTTGCACATTTGTGAAGGCACCATTAATTCTGAACGATATATACAGGTTTTGGCAACATGTGCTGCCATCCAGATGACGTCTTTTTCAGGGAAGGCCTTGATTATGTCAGCAAGACAATGACAAATCACATTCTGCTTGTTCTACAACAGCATCGCTCTTTAGTAAGAGTTAAGGTGCTAAACTGACCTGCCTGCAGTCCAGACCTGTCACCACTGATAACATTTGGCACATTATGAAATGAAAAATGCGACAAAGGAGACCCTGAAATACTGTTGAGCAGCTGAAATACTACATCAAGTAAGAATGGAAAACATTTCACTTTCAAAACTACAGCAGTGTCTCCTCAGTCCAAAGTCTTACTTGTTAAAAGAAGAGGTGAAGCACAGTGGTAAACAGGCCCCCGTCCCAACTTTTTTGAAACGTGTTGCTGGCGTCAAATTCAAAATGGGCATATCATCTCAGTTTCAACATTTACATGTCCTTGTAATATTTGAAATATAGGGTTTAAATGATTTGCACTTTATTGGATTCTGTTTTTATTTACATTTTGCACAGTGGGGTTGTAATATATTTGCAAATGATCAAAATGTATTCAGTTATTCAGAATTCCCCAATCCATCAGTATAGTGAGATAATTTCACTTAGTAAAATAAGTGTATAGAAATAACGTATATCTTATAATAAGCTTACAACAAACTCAGAAATATTAGATTTATTGATTCGATTTAAGACAATTTCACTTGTCAAGACACCATTTTTTGCAGTGCTCTCTTGCTCTAGATTTGAAAACATCCACAGGTGTTTCTGTCCATCCCTCCACTGTGAGGAGACGACTCAGCGCTGTGGGTCTGAAAGGATGTGTAGCTGATCAAGGAGAACCTCACCGAGAAAAGGAAATAGACAAAAAAGAAGAAACTTGATCAAATCAAACAAAGAAGCTGCTGGTGTTCTAACAACAAAGGACTGACCAGCTCAACATCATTGAATGTGTTTGGGAAAAGAACGGAAACCATATTAAAGAGTGGACACCCTGGACACTGAAAAAATATTTTTGTGTTTTCTGTAACATTTTCTAGAAGCTTTTTTTTCTTGTTACTAAAAAATGAGTAATTTTTACTTAAAGGCCTTTTTGACTGGAAATGAAATAAGTGAAGGGTGGTCTCTGACTTTCGCACCATGTATACATACACACTCTCTTCAGCCACAGTGCCTTTAGAGCCAGTGTGATAGATGAAGTTATACACTCCAACAGAGACAGAAAATTCTGCAGAGAGAGAGAGAGAGAGAGAGAGAGAGAGAAAAGAGATATTCTCTTTAGTTCAAGAGCCCTCTGGGGATTGTCTTTCAGCTACAATTCAGAATGTCCATCCAACCAAAGGGAGCGAGAGAGAGAAGAGACACCTGCTGTGAATGATAAAGCGCTGAGCAGTTTGATTGTACGTATTAATTTGTATGACTTTGAATTGAATTAAATTGAAAAGAAATAAGTTGAAATTAGGCTTATTAGAGTAAAACTGCAAAGCACTGCGCTGCACAGAAACAAAGGAGTTAGTGACGCAGGACGTAATAAGGGGCAGACCAGTGCCTAAAGGGCTTTTTCTGCTAAAGATGAAAGGAAGCTTGAGGGGACCAGTTAGCATGACTGTATTTACCTATTGTTAATTGTGTCCTACTAGCTTCCATTCATTGTAAGCATTTTTGGGTGAAGACCGGTTGGAGAATCTCTCTGAAATTCTACTTAAAAAACAAAATTCTGGTTTCCAGTGTTAACACTTAGAACCTTTGGTAATTTTTTGGTATTTTCTGGGTCAATTACAATTGCAATTATCAAATATTTACATGAGACAGTCACACATGCCATATGTTGTTATTTTCATGAGACCCTGGGCTACTAAGATATGCCATTGTTTGACATGTAAATGCTAACAGAAAATTGATATCTTTATGAATTTAGCTAATTTTTGATCAAAAATTTACCTAGCGCCTGCACAACATAGAGATCTTGAAAAGAAGTTAAATTGTAGATATCTTTTCAGAAATTGTTAGTCTGGAGTGTCTGTGAGCTGAAAGTGCAAGAATTTAGATAGTGATTCGTTCTATTGGTTACATTCTATTTAGTAATAAAAAACAATTAACGTAAGACGGACATGTTTTTAATAATTTCCTGTCCTCTTGGATTCATGCTGAGTGCTAAAACTCACAGTAAGACAGGCTTTATTTTTAATTACAAATTGAGTTGCATATTTAATGTCACATTTTTAATACACAAAACCAATGGAAACTGAAAGACAGAGCTAAATATTATTCATTTTATAATATTTGTCATATTTATTGTTATTTATCTGTTAAAATATGTTTTAGGGCCTGGTTGTGTGATTTTGAGGGAAAGAGGGAAAGTGCACTCAGTGTAGTGGATTGGGACAAGGCCATCGGTGTCAACCGCATAACTAGTGGTTAGCCTCAATTTTATAAGTGCATTTTGAGTCATTTTTTACATGTATTTAGCAGTAAATCTCTTATTATCAGCACTAAACTCAGAGTCTGAGTCAATCAGAGGACTTGAAACACCAGGGAAAGTTTATATATAAGAACATAAGTTCTATATCACTGCAATCTGGTGCTGTTTATTTGGAGCGGGTTGTGTCTGATAGACAGTATAGTCTGCAAGAACGTGTAGAAGCCAGTGGAATATCAGCCCATAGAGTCCTACTGAACCGGCCTTCATGCAAGTGCATAATGGCAGATTTAAATACACACATTTCAGGTCCCGTCCGGACCCTGTGAGGGAGTATCACGAGTGCTTTTTGCGTGTGAAAATCTCAGCGTTCTTTGGACTGTAGGCTTTCACAAATGTATTTTTTGTCATGAAAGCTCGGCTTCTATATGTGATAATCGGTGGGCCGGGATCTCAAAATAAACTGCCAATGTAGTCACTGTAATGTGCCTGACTGACAGCAACACAGTCCTGTAGGAAACTAGCGCAGGGGCTGCAGGCTTTTATGATCTTTTTACATCTCCATGTGGAAATTATTGTGAATAAATTGTGAATATTTGTTGCGTTTAGCTTTTTGACACTATTTCACACCCACACATTTTCTAAGCCACTTATCCTTCTGGGTCACGGGGGGGAGCTGGAGCCTGTGCTAGCAGTCATTGGGGGGAAGGCAGGAAACACCCTGGACAGGTTGGCAGTCAATTGCAGGGCAGACACACACATTCACACCTAGGTTCAGTTTAGCCTGACCAATTGGCCTGACTGCAGGTCTTTGGACTGTGGGAGGAAACCCAGACAGACACTGAGAGATCATGCAAACTCCACATAGAAAGGACCCTGATTACCCGGCCGAGGACTCGAACCCAGGCCCTTTTTGGTGTGAGGCGACAGCGCTACCCACTGCACCAACCAATTCCAATTCAAAAGTTTTTAAAGATTTAAATAAAGTAAGACTCATTTGGTTGCAGATAAATGTTTAAAGTGATCCAAATATGCTAGTCTTGGGTACCTTAATGTTTTAAATGAGTAGGAAATTAAGATTCTAAAAAAAAGAAGAAAGCCAGTGATTTGTCTAGAATGATGAACAGAACTGTAGACTGATGTGTCTTTATAATATCTAGAATAAAGTTATTTAAAAAATGAATATCCAGAATGCCTCATGTGTCAAAAGCGGTGCTCAGGAAAACTTTAAGTTGTCTTAACAAAGCCAGCTAGTAATGCTTCAAACGTTGTTAATTGTTTTTTGACAACTTAATTGGGTAGTTTGTGTAGTAAGTAAAAGTATTTGCTATGGTGTTGCTACATTGCTACTATGTATTATTGGTGATTGTTCGGTGGTTGCTAAGGTGTGCTAGGCTGTTGCTACCATAACCTTAGCAACCACATGGAATACCATAGCAGTGGCCTAGCAAATTAGAAAATTATTCAATCTACATAAGTTATGAATCTAAATAATATCCACCTAACATGGCTTCCAAACTTTTGAATAGTATTGAACAGTAGTCAGTATATTATTTAACCTTTTTTACCTTTAGATTATCGCCATCTGTGCTTCCCCTGTGTCAGAAAGCACCAGTCACCCCTGGTGTACATTCATAATTCATATCACCGGAGTGAAACTTTGCTGAGCTAACTGCGCTTCGCTGCTATTTCATTGCCATTTTCTTGCTCAGAGGACCTTTTTTCGGGATGACTTTCAACCTCAGGATAAAACACAAACAGGCCGAAATGGCACCAGGCAACTTCACGCTTGATCGATCTAAATTTGCCATTTTGAAAACCCATAAAACGGCGGGTTACACTTTTTAAAAGCTTGGCAGAGATAGGAGTCCCAAATGAGTTATAAATCAATACAGCCAAAATTGAAATATGTCCCTAAGTAATTGGGAATTCTTTATGAATTCAGGCCCTTTGCAGCAGAAAATGGTTTCGTGTCTATATGGTACAGTGTGATAAGAGGAAGGACCGCCGTGACATTTTGACATTTATGGACATTCTCCACTTCCCTGTCTCCTTTTCCTCTCTCTGTCTCCCTTTCTCTGTCTTTAGCTGCACTGGAAAGCGTCTGCTGGATAGAATATTCAATGATAACTTCTCAGAAGAAGAAGAGATCGTGGTGCTGGCGACAGACTACATGCAGAAAGTCTCTGATATCATCAAGACTACCTCAAAAAGGTACGGAGAGAATGAAGTTTGTGAAGAAAATAAGAAGAGAGGTACTTACAAACTCAGTTCAAAAGTTGAGACAGTATGTGAAAAATAAATAAAACTCAGAAATCAGTAATTTGTAAATTCACTTTGATCTGTATTTAAAAAAGAAAGCAGTACAAAGACAAGATATTTAATGTTTTATCTTGTCGACTTCTTGTAAATATGTGCTCATTCTGAAATTGATATCTTCAACACATTCCAAAGAAGTTAAGACTAAAAACATGGTTAAATGATCAGAAAACATTTTAAGGATGTAATCATGCTTAGGTATAATAGGTCCAGTCCTTTTTGTGCAAGCATGGATCGGGCCACTTTGCTAAAAATGCATCAGCAAAAACTCTAGCTGTTTAAGAACAAAGTTCCTTAATGAGCATTTGTGAGAATATTAGGGATTTCTTGCCTAATATCATCAAAATATTTAGAGAATCTGGAAAAAATCTCTATGCGTAAAAAGCCAAAAACCACAACTGACTTCCCTTAACCTTCAATCCCTCAGACAACACTGCAATAAAAAACCAACATGGTTATCTGATAGAGATCACTTCATGGGCTCAGGAATGCTTTGACAAACTATTGTCAATAAACACTGCTTATCACTGCATCCACAAATGCAAGTTAAGTCCTTACAATGTCAACAATATCCAGAAACTCTGCCGACTTCTCTGGGCTCGAGCTCATCTGAAATGGATTGATGCACAGTGGAAATGTGTATTGTGGCCTGATGAGTCAAACAAAGATTGTTTATGAAATAATGGATGTTGTGTTGTCCAGGACAAAGATGTAACGGACCATCCAGATTGTTACCAACCTAAAGTGGAAGCCAGTGTCTGTTGTGGCATGGGGGTGTGTTAGTTCATATGCTGACATAACACAACTGGCAGTTGGCACTTTACTCCAAGCGTGTTCGGCTTTCCAGTGGCAGTTTGAAAAGATGTGGTGGTGCTTCACAGGTCTTGGAGGAAGCCTGTGCTAGCCTTCGACCTCCTAGAGCTGGTGGTATCTTGTGATTGGGGGAGTCCAAACTAGTGAGTGGAACTGGATATTACTAAATTGGGGAGAAAAATGGGGGGAAAAATCCAAAAAAGCCTAATGAAGTACAAAATACGACAACAAAGGCCCCGTACAGTTGCGTAGCTGAAGACTTGGTAAAAAATCCATTTATTAGGAGCTGTTGAAAAGAATGGTGATGTAACGCAGAGGTAAACATGTCTCCTGTCCCATCTTTTTTGCAACGGGTGGCAGGCATCATATTTGGAATGAGTATATATTTACAAAAAAGTAAACAATAAAGCTCATTAAGTAAAATATCTTTTACTGTTTTCACTTTAATACAAGTCAATCAGAATCAATCACTACTTTCACTACTGTCACTAGGCCTACTGTTTCAATCCACAAATGCGCATATGTTAGTGTGTGTGTGTGTGCGCGCATGTGGGTGGTTAAGTGGGCGTGTTGTGGGTCAATACTAATCAGCCGAGCTACAGCTGAGGGGTCATGCAACAGTGGCACCTCCAATACAACCACACAGACATGCGGAGCTCCCTAGAGTCTGGCAGTCAAACGTAAGACTTGACACTCGCCATGTGTGTGACTATCCTGCTGTCAGTTCCGTTGGGCATGTGTGTGTGTGTGTGTGTGTGTGTGTGTGTGTGTGTGTGTGTGAGGCATTAGGTCCTCTTTGGCTGACTGTTATTGCTACTGACAGCCATCCAATACTGAGAACAATACCGTGCATCTGCCGAGGCCTCTGCCCGGTGACGGTTAACCAAGTTACCGCAGTAACAGCCTCCAGTGACAGTAAAAACCCATATAGCACCAGAATAAAAATGCATTGTTCATTTATTAATTTGTTTAATGCGTATTATAGCTAGACACTAATATTCCCACATAAGAACATAAGTGAACTTTTAAACATCATGAGTGATGTGATATCGTACACTGACTGGTCACTCCATTAAGTACACCTCCTTGTATCAACACTCATTGTCCATTTTATCAGCTCCACTTAACATATAGGTGCACTCTGTAGTTCTATGGTTACAGACTGTAAAACTGATCATTTCTTAGTCTGTCTTTTAACCCTATTTTCAGTGGTCAGGACACTCACAGGACCACCACAGAGCAGGTATTATTTGGGTGGTGGATCATTCTCAGCACTGCAGTAACACTGACGTGGTGGTGGTGTGTTAGTGTGTGTTGCACTGGTCTGAGTGGATCAGACACAGCAGTGCTGCTGGAGTTTTTAAACACTGTGTCCACTCACTGTCCACTCTATTAGACACTCCTACCTTGTCGGTCCACCTTGTAGATGTAAAGTCAGAGACAGTAGCTCATCTGTTGTTGCCCAGTTTGTGTTGGTCATCCTCTAGTCCTGTATCAGCCCACAGGACCCACAGGATGCTGTTGGTTGAATATTTTTGTTTCTCAGTCCAGCAGTGACACTGAGGTGTTTAAAAACTCCAGCAGCACTGCTGTGTCTGATCCACTCGCACCAGCACAATACACACTAACACGCTTCCACCAGGATGTGCAATTATTGTGTTCTTTTATTTGACAAAGATTAAACTTCACCTCACACGTTATCACTGTTTTTGCTCTACTTCAGTGTTAGAAACCATCTCAAGATTACCAGAAGAAAACATATGTAGACAGTTTGTGGAAGGAAATAATAAAACCTACAGAAATATCCATTTACCAGAGTTATTTTCCACATGATAGCCCAAATGAGGATGGTTTTACTGGCACAGGCCTACATCTTCCTGTGGGTGCACATGGGAGCTACACTAAGGGACATAGCCAAAGTCTGAAAAACAGCCCCAGTCCATTATCCCACCTCCACCAAATTCTACTGTTGGCACTATGCATTCTGGTAGGTGTTCTCCTGGCATCCTGGCATCTGCCAAACCCAGATTCATCTATCGGACTGCCAGAGAACACATTTGCACTGCTCCAGAGTCCAGTGGCGGCATGCTTTACACCACTCCAGCCGACACTTGGCATTGCACATAGCGATCTTAGGCTTGTATGCAGCTGCTTGGCCATTTCATTAAGCTTTTCCATTTCATTCTTTCTCATGGAAATCTGTACTGAGCGATGCATCAGAGTATAGGTGATTTTTATGCTTCAGCAGTCAGCGAGTGCTGTGAGTGTGCATGGTCTACCACTTCGTAGCTGAGTTGTTGTTACTTCTAAACGCTTCCACTTCACAAATATAGTACTTACAGTTGTCTAGGGCAGATCTAGCAGGGCAGAAGATGACTTGACTTGAGGCAAAAGAGGTATCCTATGATTGTCAGTTCAGTACAATCCATTCTACTGCCACTGTTTGTCTGTGAAGATTGCATGACTGTGTGCTGGACTCGATAATTAGTTTGGGTGTCTACATCTAGGCCTATAGTGTATGTGTGATGTAGTATGTATGGATTATCCTTATATAAGTTTGTGTTTTTCTGTCCACTCTTTTTGCACTTTATCAGGAGTCACCTGGCTCATCCGCCTGTTGTTAAGCCTAATTAAATTGACTTGAGCTCATCTCTCTCCTTTCGTCCATCCGTGTCTTCTTTCTTTCTCTCGCCATCCACGCTTTTCTAGAGGTAGGAAAAAGACTTGAGTAATTTCTTCTAGTGTCCGCTCTTCATGCGCTCCTGTAATAACACATTATAGCCCATAATATGGCGACAATGAAACCTTCCTTCATAATCACTGTTATTATCATCACCATGGTGACGCCTGCCACTCCAGCCAATCCGCTTTCATCCGCGCGACTCAGGAGTTCGGAGGGAGGAATGACTTTTGCGTCTATCTTTGTGTTCCTCTTTTCTTTCGCTCTCTCTTTTTTTTCCCTCCTGGCGTCTCGGCGATGCGTGCATCTCTGCAGGCTCCCTTCCAAGCGCCGCTTTTCTCTGCTGAGAACTTCTTTTCTTTTCTTTTTTACCTGAAATCCCTCTCTCGGTTTGTTTTTTTTACAGCTCCCCTTCCTCTTGTTTTCCTTTTCTCTCCGGCGTTTGTCATTGAAAGAATTGAGGGCTCATAGCATCTCTTAACGCTGACTGTGAAATAATATCAAAAGCAGAGTTTAGAGCTTCGCTAAAAGCTAAATCAGTCTGCTAACTCAGTCAGAGACGAGCACTCGGGAATCACACGCTCAGCCAAATCCTTCAAACGCATGACCTTGACTTTACCGCGCTAGCTTTGGCTATGATGCTGCTCGTGAATGTTTCATCAATACTTACCACTTTTATAAAAGCATGATATTAAAAGAAATACAATGCCTGGATGAAAGCACAATATTTTGCTATCCGTGAAAAGGAATTTTGTCTGTGGCAAGTCAAGCATCAAAAAACACTACGACGCAATGAGTCCAGTAACAGACAATGACATTTTGCAAGTGAATGCCAAGGCTGTCAAAGTTAATTTGCAATAATTATCTAAAGTGCTTTTAATGCATTGAAAATTCTTAACAGCACATTGTCTCATGAACCCAATTTCCACCAAGCGCAGGAAACTTAGTGAGCGTAGAGTTGATGAGGCAACAGGTGATATGAAGAAGGAGAAAGATAAACAATTGTCAAGAGGTCCAGGACAGAATTTCCTGGAGCTATTGAGATGTGCCATATCTACTGATAAAAGCAAAGTTAGAATGTTTTCACATGCTGAGATGATGCTCAACTTAAACTCAAACTTTCATTTTCACCATCTTGTTTGGGTCCCACATAATCAGTACATTATCCAGACACACACACTGGGGGGTGCAATGAACAGCCCTAGCCATGGTGTGCAGGGAGTAGGTGGGGGCTTAGGTGTCTTGCTCAAAGGCATGTCAATCACATACTGTCAGCTCAGGGGATTGAACCAGCAACCTTCCAGTCATAAGACTGGTTCCCTAACCTCCAACCCACAACAGCCTCCCAAGCCTGCACTACCTGATATTCCCAGGCAGTCTCCCATTCAAGTACTAACCAGGC